GAAGATTCGCTGTGATCACCTGTACCCATGCAGAAATTGTTTTCTAGAAGACTTGGAATTGTACTGGGAGATGGCGTTAATTATTACCATTGTACTATGCGCTTGATGAAGAGGTGCTGCAGATGTCATGGATCATAGAGGCATGTAACCGATTCAAATTTTATTTTCCTCCCTTTTATCATTTTTTCGTTGTACAAACGTTTTATAGAGTATTACGAGTCTTCGCGACCCTCCATGTTATTTACTTGCGGAAACTCTCATTTTGTGACGGTTGGCCATGCTTCGATACTTAAAAATGAGGAGGAATTTTGTAAAGAACGTTATTGAATGTGCTGCCATGGTTGGGGCACCGTGTATTGCAAATACTTCCAGAAAGTAAAGCGAAATAGCTACTACATTCCCAACTCCCCATCGGATGATCCCTGGGACAGTCAAGAATAACCTAGGCAAAAGACTTGATGGACTCTGCTCCTTACTCAAGTTATATTCTGTCGAAGATCAAAGACTGGCATTGAATCGAGAACGTTGTAGACACTGTCTGATATGTTTGTCTCAAGGACCTGAGAGGATAAGCGGTCATCGAAACTGACAGACAGACTGATGGACCATAGTGTCTGATCGTTCAGTGACTACCATAATTAAAGGTAGATATCTTTAATCACTTCTTTAAGGCAGGTGTGGTAAGCCGATATACATTCTGGTCGAAAACAGACGTAAGGGTTGAGGCGGTTTACCGAAACAATGCTTATTAAAAACTGTACCTTGTCATTTACGTTCTATACGGAAGATGACTCTCATCCTAACGGGAGTCAATTTCATCGACTTGTGCCGATCCATCTGGAACTTAACTTACACACTTTAAACTGAACGATCAGATTTGCTTGAATTATTTTACAACACTCGTTACTAATGACTTGAAATGTAGAGGTTGTAAATTTTACTCTTTACTTTATGTACCTTGCCTTTAATGTCATTATTTACTTCTTTTGCTTTTAGGTTATGATTATTGTATTCGTGTTGAGAAGTAATCCATCACTGATAATCATGGTTTGATACCAGGCACCGGGCAAGAGTTCCGGCTGGATAGAGCAATGACTGATCCACTGAATGAGATACTGTTCTTGACTTTCAACCAGGACTCGACGTTTGTCTAATATTTGCTGAACTATAATATCAGAACCTGATTATGAATTTTCAGGTCTCTGGCGGTCGGTACTCGCAGTGGCTACAGTTTGTTCGTTTTCGGTGACTTCAACGAGTTGCACAAGTTGTACGAAAATAGTGAGTAGTTTCTTTGAGTCAGTTTATTACTTGGTTTCAAAGATGAGCAACTCTTTGTCCGCTTTAGCTATCACAGACGTGTGCCTCGTCGAGCGGCTATTCTCCAGTAGTTTGTTGACATTGGTTTCACTTACGGCGCCTCGGAAGCTGCAGGTGTACCATTTCCAGAAGAATCGCGAGATCTGCAATCAGAGCTACTCGAACAGTATTTTGGCGGTTCGTCTTAACAGACTTGTGAGTGGAAGTTTTCTTTTCATTTGGTCCCGGTTTCTTTTGCAAATGTAATGCGCTTGCATTTCCTATTGGCATGCTTAGGAAAGTACGTTTGCGTATTTATTACAGAGCTTCTCGTATCATCGTTGTCTTTGTCCTTATCGTGGTTTTTATGTGATCACGGTTGTCATAGTAAGTGGTTATAATCATCATTATCATCATCGTGATAGTCTTCAACATCACCGTCACGTTTCGCCCATTGTCTTCATCCGTATTATCATCTTTTGTTCCAGCACCGCTGGGTTATAGTGTATTAACTAATCCATGCTGTGCTATGTCAGTAATTCAAAAAATGGATTTTGTTTCAAGGAGGACACGGACAATCAGCTTTTTCAGCTCATCGCGACATATACCTCGTGTTTTTATCATTGTGTAAGAACTTTCACTGATTAAACACCAACTGCAAACGGGTCTGTCGATTTTCAGAATATTTTGAAACAGGTTACCACATATATTGGTAGATAAGTTCTTCAAGAATGCAGAGAAGGCAGCAAGGTCATTCACATGCTGTTTCTGTACTTACAGAAAGCATTAATGTTAGCATAAAAACAAACTGGCTCTACTAAAATGTTAAGGTTACCAAAGGCGTGCGACGAAGTGACAACAGTAACTAAAAAATATGTCAAAGCCTTGATTTCTAGCATTTGACTTTCTGTTGATTGCGATTTATGCGCCTCATCCGTGGAGGATGTAAAAGCCGTACGGAAACACGCACTTCTGCATAAATCTGTACCTCGTGACGGAATATTTATCCTCACGGATGTTCCCATTTCATTTTTCTTCAGGCCAAGGCCTGTGATTACAAAAGCATTGTTGTTCTTCGTTTTGCATTCTGTTACTTCATCACATTTTTGAAGTATGCGTCTGAAATGACAACAGCAAAACAATGGTTTTTGTTTCACCTGATTCGGACCCTTATGGATATGAACACATGCAAATGTCTGGTCCAGTAGACCTTGTCATGAATCGTCCAGTTGTACATGTTTTCTCGTTTGTTCATTGTATCCTTTTGCGCTTCACTGTCTGTAAATTTGCCGGAAGATTGGCAGTTTTCACAGTTCTGCCATGGCAAAACGTTTGATCTGGTTTTTAATGTTTTTCTTTATTTGTTTGCTAACGAAATTTCTATAGAGACTGATCGTATGTTTGGAAGAAAGTATTTACATTCACAACATCAGGGACATGAAAGTACTCCACACGATCCGCGATACTCCAGCAAATCACCAAGGGCTGTGTGACTTGAGCCCTAGCGACGTTAGTTACTTGGCTTATCCGGGATCTGTCCACAACGGCGAGGTTCATATCTTTGATGCCGCGAATCTGGTAAATTTTTTTTTCATATACGTTTATTTGTCATCAAACTTTGTAAGTTAAGAAACGCATCTCTTTTCTAGAATCACATATCATAGTGTTTTATCGCCCTTTGTCATCAAACGTTCGGGAGCCGTTTTAGTAAGCCAGAATTCCGTGGTATTTGATCATCTCAGTGCTCCGTGCATGTGATGGTGTGCTGCTTAACTCGGGACTTAAAATGAGTCAAAAACGAGATTTAAGCCAAACCTGGCAGGGCAAACAGAGTCAGACACCATTTAAGTGAGAATTTGTGGACGTTCATGTAGCTGTCATTTTAAACGTGCCTGGTCAAGTAAAGGGGGTCAGCTAGAAGTTCTAAGAACCGAACTGCCCTGCGAGCAGTGCGAAGTTTCAAACTCCTAAAATAAGTCTGTGGAAGCGGCTGAAACAACATCAACCACTTCTACAAGGTCGAACGGAATGAGTAACCTAACCTCCTTTGTTTTTCTCTGAGTGATGGTTGTTCCTTACCGTTGAAACCTCGCTGTTTGAGCGTTTATATTTTACACAAAAATTTTTTGTTCTGTTCTTAACATTGGGATCTAAAATTTGCTTTCAGCAAGCCGTCACGATGATCGCCGCCCACTTCAATCCTCTGTGCGCCCTGAAGTTCAACATGGATGGAAGTAAACTTGCAACTGCATCGGAAAAGGTTTTTTGATTGTTTATCGCGAACTTATATGACTAATTCTAGTTTAGGGTACTGTAATTAAAGTATTCGCTGTTCCCAGTGGTGACAAGCTGTTCGAGTTCAGACGAGGACTCAAGAGGTGAATGTTTTGCATACAGCCTCATGCTAACCTTTGTGTATCTCGTTAACATAATGACTTACTATACAGCTGATATGCAGGTCACTCAGTGTGAGACGATGTGCAGCTAAGGCAGATGCAGAAATTCAAACATCTCATGGTAGCGTTCATGAGAGACAGTTGGCACTACAGGGAAAAGAAACAGGCGAATCGGTCAAACTAGCGCTGTAAAGCGGCAGCTCGCTTCACCTTCTGTGATAGTAAAGAAGGAGCTGAGCTGTGATGCGAAACTATTTTTTCTAAAGTCTGTGTAGGCACTTGACCTCATCTTTGGTCGTGTATGATGGATATTGACGGAAATGGTGCACTTCCGGTTTGAGCACGTGATTTGGGTGTCACAGGAGAGGCACGCAATGCAAACTCTTACCTTAGCTACATGGCGTTTATTCGCTAGGTAGGCTGAGGGCTAGACGATCTGGTTTTGTTGACGCCGACACTTTCGAATTGGAAATCAGTGCTTCAAGCTGCCGAATCTGGTTAGCCTGATAGGGGTACATATTTTCACCGGAAAAGGCAGTTTCATTAGCAGAATGATAAGCAACGTACATTCCCCTGTGACTATAGCATTGTCAGGCCAGCAAGCTGTATTCACGCCTCATAATCCTTGGCGTTTATTGGCTGTGAGTACATTTGAAGCTTAGATGGTATTATGGCTTTTAAAGTGTATTATAATCTCCTTATTTTCTTTGTACCAGACTGTCAGCGAAATAGCAGTGCAACCCTATCAGTGGGCCTGGTAGATGTTTGTAGTTTTGGTTTTAGGGAATTGGCAATGCTTACTTCAATAATGGCCGTTTGGAACTCAAAGTGCAGCCTTTGTTCACATGTCAGGAGACTAAGAGACAGTCTCGATACTAGATGGCATGGACACATTTGTTACACATTATTTTCATTCCTTGAAATCCAGTCCACACACATTTTGTCTGATTGGTGGAGAAGACTAATTACATTGAAAAACCTAATAAATTTCTTGCCTCTCCCATTGCACGGAAGGAATATAGGAATAAATTAGTGTGCATGCTGTTTGTTATTTTAAAATCTTTTGTGCGATTATTCATTCTCTGCTAAAGCGTTTGATTTTGTGTTTCTTGACTTATGCTGTGAATTGCGTATTTTACACCGTTGACATTGCTGGCTTTTTTAAAAGCTCTTGTTTCAGGTGCGCGACCATATATTCGTTGGCATTTAGTCAAGACTCCCTCTACCTTTGTTGCTCGAGTAATACAGAGACAATACACATCTTTAAACTGGAGCATCAAGACAAAGGCACCCAGTAAGTATGGCACAGTCTGAGCTTGGTTTAGACAACACAAATCCAATGTACGATTTCAAAAGGTCAGACAGTATGCATCTGGAAAACTCTGCTATTCATTAGTCATAGATGACTGTGATGGATAGCTACGGCAATATTACCGTAATTTTCATGTTGCCTCTGTCGTCAGGTAAGATGATGCAGGGTGCCCTAAATTAATGATATATATTTTTGTTTTCTTAATTCATGGTTCCAAATAACGCGTTACCAGGATGAAGTGAACTTCCTTTATTTAAACATAGTTCGACACTTCACATCGACTTAATCATCCGATAATATGCAGTTTACTATTGGTTGTGAATAGTTTGGTGGAGGACATTACAGCTGTTACTCAAATTATATTAGCACTTACATTCATAGGATATTTAGCTGTTAGTTGTTAGCCAACATATGCTGCCACGATTCACGGATTAATTTTACATGTTCGATATCATTCATGAGATTAAATGAGTGAGTCGCCGCTGACATTGCTGATGTTTAAACCGACGTTGTGTACGTCTTCATGCAGACATTGCGAAATCAGTTTTTGCGTTTGACACCGGCATGGCTTTGGACATTCGACTGGTAGAAGGCAACTTTGTAGCGAAGAGACTCTTTGCGACTATGAGCCCATATTCAGATTTTCAATAACATGTGTTTGGCCTGAATCTCGACGATGAGTTGTACGTCACTGTGATACATACTTAATAAATTATTTCATTAAAATTTTCTTAATTTACTGTCGTTTCAGGACCATTATCGAAGAAAGTTCGTCGGTCCAGGGATGGGTGAACTTTATGGGCCGTGCTGCAGCCAGTTACCTGCCCTCGCAACTAAGTGACATCCTGAATCAAGAACGAGCATTTGCCATTGCCAGGCTACCACATCCTGGTTTTAAAAACGTTTGTACGTTAACCGAGTAAGTTGAGGTTTGTTTTTATTTGGATATTAACTTCGCATTAATAACTATAAAAGTTTTTGGTTGAATAATTGATATTCATATAAAGCGTTAAATGTTTAACACATTGGCTGGCGAATTAAACTGATATGTTACCTTTGAAAGCCCAGTCTTCATTGTATCTTCTAGCAGGAAGGGTGAGGGGAAGGGGTGTCAAGGGGACAAAATCATGTGACATTCGGTTTATTGCTGTGCTTTTAAAATCTAAGCTGCTGAATAGAAATGCTTCTCACTGTCGACCTTTTACAACTGAATGATCACGTTGCGAGCCTGAAAACATATACTCCTTCCCCAGCACGCAGTATTCTGTACCCATCGAACGAGCCTTTCTATCCCTAACGCGTCTTCGCTCACAGCTTGTCTCAGCGCGATACTTGAAGTTCGCGCAGCGCTCTAAATTGGCCAGGGACCCTGGTCGAAATCAACCCTATTTAATCACGTATTGCTCAGCTATTTGATTTATTTCTCCGAATTTCATAACTACTTCTGGTACATTTCCTGCAGGGTCAGATCTCGCGCCTATTTTTTACGGTTTCAGTTTTACGTTAATTGAATAAGCTGATTTAAGTGTGGCGTTGTGTTACTCTGTAACGCTTTGATGTTTCAGGGTCAAGCAAGTACCTCGTTTGCTGGTAGCATCTACCGACGGCTTCCTCTATGTTTTCAATTTTGATAAAGTTGAAGGCGGTGAGTGCGTTCTTCACAAGCAACAGAGGTAATTTTTGTTGTCTCGTCATTTTCTGTAATGGTACCTCGTGCCTTCTCCCCTGGAAAGAGGGTTATATTTGATTATTCCATGATGGAACTGCACACGTGATCAAACGCTTAGAAAAAGTAAAAAATATTCTTTTTTCCAGGTTGGTGGACTTTTTTCAAATTTGGCCTTTCGAAACTTGTTTTTACATTTTTCAAATCTGTCTTTTCTTTCGATAGCATGAGACAAAAATTCGAGTAAGCCTAGCTGCGGGCCATCTGTCGCTTCCACTGGTTGCAGAACGGGCAACGATCCTCATATTTGGAGGTCAGCTGTGACGAATAAGCAGCCAGAGACAGACAGCGGTACTATCAGAGCGCGGCTGGGGACAGGTCCAACGAACGCTTACCCTATATAATGGCCACATATAACCGAATGAAGGTCCCATGACGAGGAGACAGTGACCCAGAAGTAGTAAGGAATTCCATCCCTGTCTTGGAGTTGGACCTGTAGCGTTCACACGTTCAAAGCGACAGCTTCTTGAATAAATTAGACGGTAATTGCGGACTCGTTTATATCAACCAACCCAATGGAACTGCATGAAAATAGGACATGTTGCTTTTCCGTTTAATGATACGGCGTTAACGGTGATAGACACACGCGGTAATGACAGTCCGGTGACTCGGGGGACATTACATTACGTGGACTGTTCACACGCTGTTCATTCACGTCGATCACATATTGAAACGTGCGTACCTTACTCAACCCTTTAAGTCATTCTCTCACGGTTCGCACCCTGTCCCGTTACAAAGTAGGCGTTGCCTGTCTCTGAAGGATCCGCATGCCTCGTACCGGATCAAGGTTGGTGTCAAGTCCGTCTGTCTGACCAGCAACACTGATTGTATCACAGTGACCCCATGGATAACCGGAAAGACTTTGTGTAGTCATAGCACTGTTTCATAATCCGCATGCTGCTCTTCTCTCGAAGAATCCAGTCAAGTCACTTCTTGCTTACCGGCGCTTGTGGGACATATCAGACAGTTCCGTCTACTCATCCCCATGTTGGTCTCAAATGATACCCTTTTGGTTCATTTTTTATTTCTTGTTTATTAGCCCTTTCCATCATTTGTGCCCGTTTCACTAGTTTACTGTTTTATATTGCTATGTCATTTGTTTTTTATTTCAGCACAGTTTAAACTGCAAAACTTTGTATGTTTGATATTTCACATATTTTAAATTGCTTAATGTTTCATGAATTAATGATTAACTAAGGGTTCTAGACTAACTAGCAAAAGGCGATCTGGTGACGACAGTCTGTTGACAGATCTCAGTGGTGGATCAGATGCAGATCGTCAGCAGCCGAAAGAAACGTGTTCCCTTGGGAAATCTTACGCAGCAACCGTGCAACAGCACGAAGGTATGTTTTTCTCTTGTTTATGAATAACTTGATTCTCCGTTTCTGCAGCACATTTTGTAATATCAGACTTTTCTAGTAATCATGAATCCTTTTCTATTAGTTTTCTCTTGCTCATCGATAAGATTGTAAAGCAAATACAGCAAGGTTCTCTCTTTGAACACTCTTCATAACACTCAGTTACCGGTAGTCCTTAGCATACCTCCACCGGATCCCGGAAGGCGCAGTAATTTCCTAATGCAGTATCGCAAAATCCAGGACAAGCCGAACTTTCCAACTTGTTAAGAATCAAGGCAGCTTCCTCCGCGTGACTCGACTCGTATCGGCTAGACTCATATCGTGAAAACTGTTCAGACTCCACCAAGTTCAAACGACCTAGTAACGTCGTCTTTTGAAGTCAGTGGCGAGTTGAGGAAAGCCTCACAAAGTTTCATTTTGTCAAATTGATGCCTCATGAACGACCTGACCAAATGGTCGCTGAGCTTCCACGTGTTCTGGGAAAAAATGGTCAGCTTTCAGCAGAATCCGCACCGACCAAGCCAGGACCGAATATCATCTATACACGTGGGATACATAGAAATTCCTGCAGGTACGGATGCTGCAGCGCCGATCAGACAGTCGACCATACTGTCGACCAGTACGATGCGAGGAAGTTCAACTAAGAATAGTTGCGCTGCACCCGCTGGAGATCAGTTCACCCTCTTAGTTGTAAAAATTTGACCTTAACAAATGGATGTTTTCACCATATGGGGTTTTTGAACGTTAATGCAGACGATGGCCCGAAATCTTTCCGCCAAATTGCCTCAAGGTTACAAAGTTATGAATCCTGTCGATTCTGGTTACTAGTGTCTTGCTGTTCAACCATTTTTAGTTTTTTGTCATTATCCTCAGGAGGGGGGTTAAGGTCGAATTATGGAGAACCAGTAAGTTTTAAGTAAGGATAATATAAAGAATGACTTTCACTGCTACTCG